AGATTAAGTTAGGTAGAATATAGCATAAAAATAAATATCTAAAGCACTACAGCAGTTCTCAAACTTTCTTTGTTTGCTTTGGCCAGGTTTTATTGTTTTTGGGGTTTTTTTTGTTGTCCAGTACAGGAACAGGAACCAAACCCCAGACCTTGGTGTCATCAGCACCATGCTCTAACCAACCGAAATTTTTTTTACTTTCAGAGTTCAGAAAATGTATGACCTCCCCACTTTATCTCTGTTCTCTCTTCCATCACCTCTTCCCACTAAATCAAATGAAAACTTCCTTCCAAGCGAGTGGACACAAACTGGTTTATGAAGCTAAAGGTCTGCAGTGATCAATATGTGCTGACTAAAAAGACTCAATACTCAAACATTCTGTCTAAAGCTAAGAGTGAATAAATTATGTGGGAATCCATCCCTAAAAGCCTCTTTAGAACTCCTCCATTCGACAGAATTGCACATTAGATCTAACCACCACTACCCTGAGTGAGCTTAGCTACTTGAACCACTGTCTCTGTACAAAAATAAATTTCAAAAAAGAATTCTGTGATACACATCCAAAGTCTTTGGAGGAAAGCCACTAAGATATGATCAAACTACTCCTTGTAACTGGCCTCAAAAGCAGACTATAATACTTAAAGCCTTAAAACTGGCTAGGGAATACATATCCAATCCACTAAAATTTGCAAGTTAGGATTCTCTGTGCTTAAAAATGATTAAATTCTTCGATATTCACCCTTAACCAAAACACCCACTTCAATTCTAAGGACGCAAAAATGAGGAAGTGAAAATATACATTTACTTTCCTTTTTGTCACATACCTTCCCACATACCAAAATTACTACTGCAGAGAACTACTACGCTAACCATTATTCCAAAGGGTCCCTAAGCATCTCAAAAAGTGGTGCCTTGGTTCCTTCCTGATCATTATTGCAAAATGGGAAAATGATCTCCCAGCAGATGGTCATCCTGAATAAGTAAGCCAGTAATTAAAGTATCCTGTTGTCTGTGTTTCTACTTACCATCTGTAACATCCTGAGGGTTTGAAGTCCGGTCACTGGCTGGATCCAGTGCAACAGTTGCCAGTGAAGTGGTGGCCCCAGACATCTCACTCATAGGCTCGCTACGGCTTGTTTCAGGCACACTTTCCCGGGAGCTGAATCTTACTCTGGAACTAGATCGAGAACTGAGGTCCGGGCTTGTGTCTGATAAACCTGGAATGTCATCGATCTTTGTTGGTGTCACCATGAACCGAACTGAAGCCATCTTGGTGGTGGTTTCTGGAGGATGCATTTCTCTTTTTTCTTTTCCTTTTTTAAGGACAAAGAAAAAGGGAAAACCTCGCAAAATCTTCCTCCTAAGCTAGTTACTTTCGATTGCAAAAAAAGAAAAGATAACTTAAAAAAACACAAAAACACCCAGCTCAATTACTTTGATTCACACCACACAAAAAGCCCCAAATAAGAATCCTTCCACTCAGAATTCAATCCGACTGTCCTAGAAAGTGCACCACCAATAGCTGAAAAATATTTTTCAAGGGGAAAAAAAAAAAGACAAAATGATGCCAATCTTGTGTAATTTCGTTCCTTCAGAAAGAAGAGCTACTTAGCTATCTCCTCTGGTCCAGGGCTGAGGGCTCCGTGCCATGGTCTCAGAGCAGCAGGTAAAGCCTCCCTCCCCTCAACAACCCAGGCTCCTGTCGAGGTAGTTAGTCTTTTATCTGTGAGCGTCCCACTGTTCTAGGTGAGCAAAGTGCGTTCAGGCCCACCCTTATCAAGCAAATATAGGGTGGATCAGATTGCAAAAAGGTGCAAACCAGCACCTGTTGTGTATCACGTGAATACCCCACAGGTCTCGCTGGGAGGAGGTGTGTGCAGAACCACTCGATGTTTCTGAGGCCGATAATCCACTTGGGTCTGGTGGGAGAGGTGCGCATGCATAACGGGAAAAATAACCCACACTACTGGATGGAAGAGAATAAGGACAGAAGGGTGAGCAGAGGAGGATGCAGGGACAGAACGGATTCCTGCTTCCGAGAAATCTGCGGGGGTGGCGTGTCGGCTCTTCTCCAGGCAGAAAGGTCCCTGGGATCTGGGAGAAGGAGGCTAGCAGATCAAGACACCTCGGGTCGTAGCAGGTCGTTGCTAGTCCACTGAGCCCACGGTCGGCCCACTAGGTTTCTCCTGCGTGATAGGACGGGCCACCCCTTGGCCGGGAGACGCTTTCTCCCCTACCCGGCCCCGGCGCAGGTTAGCCCCTCGCCGTTTTTCCTTCGGGTGCCCGCAGAAGAGACGGCCACGCTGGCTGGCCCTGACTGGGCAGGAGGGCGTCGGGGATGAAGGGATGAGGAGGTCGCAGGTGCGGGATGCCAGCGCCAGCTGATGCGGGTGCGCGCGCAGCTGTTGTTTACTAGCCGCTAACTGTCTCCGAGCCGCGGCGCGCGCAGGGTTGGGGCTGCCGGGGCGGGCGCCCCCTCCCCGGTCAGACGCCAGAACAGCCGTTACGTGACCTCGCCGCCCCCTGCCTCGGGCCCGGCGGGCTGTGCCCGTCCCGCCGCAGCCCCTCCCTTCCCTTCTAGGTGGTTCCTCATTCGAGGTCAACCTTCTGAAGAGAAGCCTGGGGCAGCAGTTAGAGGGAGGCACCGTCCCGCGAGTACCCGACAGTCCCCCCCACCCCCAGCCTCTGCAGACCGCGGTGACAAAGTGTAGCGCGCCTGCGCTTCCCGGGGGCCACAGCGGAAGAGGGGCGGGGCCGAGCGGGAGCGCCCAGGGGCACGGCGGGAACTGTAGTCCGGCGCAGGGCCCGAGCCGCGTGCAGCCAAGGAAAGCCCTTTTCCTCGGTGCCGCCGGCCGTGTTGCACAAACTCACGCTGGAGGCACCTCAGGGGCGGCGGTACCCCTGACCCTCAGAACCTCAAGAGCCATCTCTCTTTAATACTAACGTCTCTGAAAACACCATTCATGATTTATTTAAAGATCACAAACCTCGCAATACCATGTACCTAGGTATGACCCTCATTGTAATTTTTATGTAGAGGTCTATTGTAAAGCATTATATCCTCAAATTTATACACACTTTGAGCTACATTTATTTTTTTCTTGTTTCTGTCCTTTTATAAAATGCTGTCGCCTATCTTGAGCGTCACATAATGCACAGTTATCGATGTTCAACGATATACCCCATAGATAAGTACAATCGTTTCAATTTTTAAAAAGTAAAAAAAAAAATTTTAAATGCTATGTCCATTTTGTAGTCAGACTGTAAGTTCCACTACAAGAAATGTCTAATTTTAGACTCGGAAAAGACATTGAGATATTTTCTCAACTCCATTCTCAGTGTTTTCCCTACTACATTTACCATCACAAGAGTATTTTTCTTAGAGTTTAATGCATAAATACAAGAGTTCAATAAATCTTTACTCATCAATGTTTTGTTACAAAAGTTATTTCCTATAGTTTTGATCAAGGTATCTAAATTTAAAAGTCTGGGTCCGGAACCTAGCTCCTGGCTTTGCTGGGTTCTTGCTCCTCACAAGTGGAAATGTTCAAACAGCATCCTTAGCAATGGATCAGAACTGCACTAGTATTTGAGACCTAGGACAAGAAATTCCCTTATAGTAAATGACACAGTCCAAGTCCAGTTTGAAAGATCCTAGTAACAAAATGGTAAATTTCTATTTAAAATATAAACTTCCTCAAGCTTGATTCCTTATATAGCCTATGATTCTTAATTCAGGCTCACAGCTTTCTTACTTGAGGAAGCAAAAATTCCATCTCCCTGAAGGATCAACTTTCTCCTCAAACAGTCCTGCTGTTCATTCAAACCACAGATTTTCCTTTATAAAGAAATGCTGGAATTTTACAACGCTTAATTTTTGTTTCCTACCACAGTGTATTTGCATTTACTTATCCGAGGGGGCTTCAAAATTTCACAGAAAGATTCGTATTATCTTTTAATTCTATTTTTCCACTAACTGTTTGAAGTACCCTTGTGTATACCACCTGATTTCAATATATGCTACCTCTGAAGACTGTTCCTGTCTTTGAGCACTAATCAAACTGTATGATTGCTTGTCCCAGGGGATCTCTTAAGGAAAAGTCCTTGGCATATTCGTGCCAGTTTATCTTTTCTCCTCTATATTGATTAGGAATTTTTCCAGGCTAAAGTCTTTTTACTTTCAGTCTACACAGCTAATAGCATAGAACAATGTTAATTCTTTTTTCCTTTCTTTTAAAGATAGAATTGCAGTCGATGTTAAAGAAAATTAGTAGCAGAATTCATTTACTGACTTTTGTGCTTAAGAAACTTTGGTAGCAGATCCATTTTCTAGTCATTTGCAGAATTTTTAACATTTCTTCAATTATTATCCCCTTATTAGGATAACTCCTTAAAATCCTTCAGATCCAATGCTAAGAGCCCTGTAAGTGAACAGAGTAAGAAATAAAATTGCTTGACAGGAAGCAAATATCTCATTTCACCAGTCCTATAAGTTTTCAGCAATTTATTTTTAAGTTTAGTTTTTAATATAGTTTTAAGTAATTTTTAAGTATTTTAAATTTAGTTTTAAGTAATCATCTGTCTTCTGTTAACTATGACTGAAGTCCAGAGAACTATTTTTTTCTCAGCAGTCTGCAACCACCCTGAACTTTTCTGCTGTGATGGTTAGAGAGCTTCTAGAGTCTAAAATTTTGATGGAGTTGAAAAAAGACTGCAGAATTAGAATATAGTCCTCACAAAGCAATTTAAAAATCAGTGGCACTATCCAAACACATTTAAATCCAATGTTAAAAGCTATGAATGAGAAAGAACATTGGGAAATAACGAGTTTATTATCTTGACAAATAAAGGAAGAAGCAAGCTTGCAGTTCTTGAATTTCTATATACCATATTTTATTTAACCCTCTCTCTAATATGAGGTACAACAATGGTCCCTGACCGAGGATGGTTCCATTTACTATTTTTAGATATCATGAAGGGTTTACTGGGAAGTAATCTCATCGAAAGTTGAAAACATTCTATGCTGCCAGGATTAAATGCATTTTTGACTCATGATGTTACCCCTTGGTAGGTCTAGGTGTATCTGTAATCGGATTAAAAAGCATTTACATTTGCTCCATGACAAGCTCAGGTCCTAAGAAAACTTCTCCCAGTTTTTAGTTAAGCCCAAGAATAGCTTGAAAAACAACACAAATCCCTGCTTGAATCTCTCATACCTCATCTTCTAAATTAAGATCTGTGTAGAGTTCTGCATGGTAGCTAGCTGCCAAAGAGCATATAAAGTCTGGTGTATGTAAGAAGACAATTCCTTGATGGAGAGAACTTAAAGTCTGGGAATATTTCCAGAGGAACAGTAAATATGCATTAAGGCATTCCTTTCACAACAGTTGGACAAAGAAGAAAGATCCACCACTAAACCTATCAATTTTAGAGTTGAAAGAAAACTTAGAAATTAGGAGAAAAAGGAGACTATGCAGTTTAAGTAACTTTCTCAAAGTTATACAGGAGAAAAGAATACTGGTGTCCTGACTTCTAATTCACTGCCTTCCCTCTACAATATGGAGACTATTATTCTTTCAAACAACTCTTCCATTTTGAGTCAAAATGTTATTTCAAGGGGCAAGAAATTATGTGACAACAGGAGTATTTTTCAGTGAATGCAGACAGCTGTGGCAGTTTTTCTGTACCTTTCTTCCCTTTCCCCAACATCTTCCTATCACTACTCCTGCTACAGCAGCGACTTAAGTTTTTCTTCCAAGTGGTCTTTTGCAACCCCCTAGGGTACTCTCTCCCCTCATCTCCCTGGCTTTTAAAAAATTTACCAATCCTTTCTTCCAGCAACATATAAAATGACAGCTCTTTCAAATCATTTTGTCTTTAATAACCCGGCAGTAATTCAAAATATGAAAAAAGGAGTCAGACTTTTTTTTTTTTAAGGGGGATGCTACTGTGCTTCATACAAGCATGATCAAAGGCCAGGTGGGGCTTGATTCCAAACAATATGTGTGGTAAGAAGGCTTCATGGCTCACACATTGTAGAATTTGGTTGCAGAGTCTCCGAAGGGTAGCAGGCGGCAAAAGAGACATGAAATTTAAAGGACCCCCTCAGAGGACAGGGCGCGGTTGCTGGGTCATTAGCACCTTGAAGCGTTTCTTGATGGTGATTCGGTGTCGCGAGTATTTGTCGTCTGGGGAGAACCGAGCTGGATGGGCTGAGCGGGTTTGTTGTCCCACAGGGTCAAATTTCTGCTCGAGAAAGAAAGAACATAATCTTAGTACAAGAGTGGTGGATGGGGAAGAGGCAGCACGAAAAAGGGCAAACATGAAGACAGGAGACGCGACGGTAAGAACAAGAAGTCGTGCGCTCTCGGTCCTACCACGCCTCGCTTCTGAACTTTTTGGTTCCCCGCACCCAAAGCTGTTCTCAACCGCTCCTCCTATCTGTATCTCTTGCCATGACCATTTACAACCAGTTTCCTCTCCTTACCTTCAGCGTATAGACCCGATCTCCCTGCTCGTCGAGGTAATACTGCAGAAACATGATCACTCTTTAGCTGGAGGTTCCTATTCCTTTTGCAGCGCGGTCAACCCGACACCCTCACGTGTTTGTCAATTTCCTTCCCGTACAGCCGGAAGTCTATCTCAAGGCGTGCAGGGAAATGTAGTCCTTTTTTTCGTGGTGGTGGTGGTGAGGGGGGAGGCCTCCTCTTCAGTTGGCCAGAAGGGGGCGCACTAGAGCAGGACTTGGCCTGGGGCACCAAGTTGTCACCCTACTGGAGACAAGTGGAGTGTGCCCACTGTGTGCTAGGCACTTCTAGGGGTTAGAGGGGAGTAGGGATGGATGTGGGCTGAACATTGATGTATATAGAATACTGTCTTTATATCGAGATGCATGCCTATTTTATAGGCAGTGGGTTTCCAGTGCCTGGAGAAACGGGTTCCATAATTCATAGCCCCTTTACCGTAGGGAAGAAAGGGAAGGTTTTTTTTCCTCCCCCTTTTTACATCCAGTTCCCCTGCCCCATTTCAAAGTATTGGCGGTAAAGAGTGCATGCTGGGTAGTCAATATTACGTAAAGCGAAGAGAGCGGTAAGTTATTTTATGAAACTGGTGAAGTATGTTTTAGTGGTCGAACTAAGATTCTAACCGCAAATTCAACGCCCTTTCTTATAGTGGTGAGTAGCTAATAATAGCATAACGAGGTGCACCTTCTAGGAGTATTTCAAATGTTTTACAGAACACAGGAGTTTTCCTTATCGGACTGTAGTTTAATGAAATGAAATTTGGAACCAAGATATCATTACACAGATGATCGTTACAGCATAATTTGTAATGGTAAAAGCATTGGAACATATATTGATTTCGTAACCAGAAAAAACTGAACTTTTTTTTTTTTTAAAGAATATGGTTTGTATTTTCTTGTAGTTGCATAAAATATCTCTGCAAGTATTCACACACAAAAAACCCATGATTATTTGTTTCCTCTGGGATAGAGAACTTGGTTACAGCGGAAGGGAGTGGGAGGTAGACTTGTTGCTATATATTGCGTTTTGCACAGTTTGACTTTTGAACCATGCTAATGTATTATTACCTCTTTAAAAATTTTTTTAAAAAGACAGCAAAATAACTTAAAAAGAAGGACTTTCTGGTTTTGAAATTTTGGGCTGCCTGGCAGTTTTTTTATGTAGTGGGGCTTTTTAGCAAAAGGTAAGGCTGTGGCTTTTGTGGACTGCAGAGTTTATGGTAGTGGACTGTTTGGAGGCTGCAGGACAGCTTTCCAAGGAAGTGATGTGTATACAGCAATCTAATACCCTGGATCATCTGAGACAATTCTAATTTCAAACATTGGGTTGCCTTGATCCTTAAGTATATAGACTATGGGTTCTGAATTTGGTTCAGAAAATATACTCATCATTGAATTAAATCAAGGGTCTACCAGCAACCTGCTATTAATAGGAAGTCAGTTACAGAATTGGTTGTGTTTGAAAGGCACAAAACTGGATATGTTGGTGAAGAATTGAATTATAGGGAACGAAAGGTAAAACTGTAATGCTGGGAATCTGAGAAAGAATTTACAAATTGCCCTAAAGAGGAACACGTCAATTTTGTTGCCAAAGTCTAGTTTGTAGAGAATTGCCTTTAGGGCAATTTGCCTACTTTCTAGAACCTTTCGAGGAATAGCTCCCTACCCCCTCCTCACCTTTCTAACTCCCCCTCCCCACCTTTCTCACTCCCCCTCCCCCACTGCAGAATGTCTTGAGTCCTAGATTCTAGTTCTGTTT